GTATTGACACATGTCATTCAAATGAACCCAGTCTACCAAGCAACCCAGATTGTGCTGTCAAACCATCACCATGTTCTGTTATTTACAACTCCACCAATCTGTCATATGCAAACTTTAGCAGCACAGATTTCATGTTTTCTTCCAGGTCACTGTTAGAAATAGTACTGGGGCAAGAACAGAAGACTTTGGTATCTCACCTCTCTGGGTGTTGATTTACATTTACAATTAACATTTACACTTACTTCTTGAGATCTAGCAGTTAGCCCGTCTTTAAACCCTTCAATATGTGCCGCATTGGCCTGGGATAGTGCTAATTTTTAAAAACCAGAACGTCACACAGGACGCCGGGAATTGCCTTACAGAAGTCTAGGTATATTATAGCAGCAGTTTTCTTTGTCAACCAAATTTATAATCTCCTAAAAAAACAATATCAGGTTTGTTTGACAGGACCCATTCTCCATAAAACCAGGTTGACTGGCATTAATTAGGAAACTGTCCTTTAATTTTTTATTGATTGAATCCAATATCAGCTTTTCCATGATTTTGCCCTGGATCGATGCCTGGCTAACTGGCCTATAGTTACTCAGATCATCCCATTTACCCTGTTTACGTGTTGGTACAACATCAGCTTTATTCAACTCCTCTAGAATTTTCCCAGTGATCCGAGTTTTGTTAAATATCAGCATCAGTGGCTCAAGCTCCTCAGCCAGCTCTTTAAAGAGATACATGTGCACACCCCTCCCGACAAAATAATTAAAACCAAAACCAAAACCATGCAGTCCTAGCATGCTTGAAACTCATCCCGCGGTTTGTATGTTGCATTCCTTTCCCTCCCAGATTCTTTGTCTGTCTTAACTCTTTAGAAGGCAAGCTCTCCAGGGCAGGCACTGACTGCATATGTATCTGTTTAGCACCGGGTGTCAAGCTGCCTTCAGTGCCTCAAGAGAATGGGTACCAATCTCAGGGCAGGCTGTTAGGAAGCAGGGCACAAATCCAAAATGGATTGTGAGTTCTATACTTAGGTTTCACCAACCAATTATCAAGTATAAACTCCTCAGGCACCATAACGGCCTAAACATGGAGTCACAGACAGTTCCCTTGGGTGCTCCAATCTGTCTTGCCACTCAGATGAGCCTACCTTTGTGACAGATGGTCGTTTACACCAAGAATCACAGCAATATTCAAGTTTCTCCCATTCTCAAAGGACCAGTCACTTACCCCAGGTCAGTTGCACCTCAGATCTCACACCAAAGACAATGCTTGTAGCCAATCCTACAATAAACTATCTAAAGATTTATTAAATCGGAAGAGGAGACAAGAGAGTTATTTACAAGGTTAAAGCAGGTAAACATACACACACACATGAATTGCAATCTTCAGTTTCAAAAAGTAAGAGAAGCTTCTATAATAAGCAAGGCTCTATATGTCCTTTAGGGCTAACTCAGGCTGAGCAGCTGGGGGTCTCTTGCTTATGCCTCGAAAACCTTCCACCACCCCAATTCCAAGCAGTGTAGAGATCCAGTTCCTTCTTGTTAGGGTTTTTATCCCCCTCTTCCCATGTGCTCTGAGCTGCAAACTCAGCTGACTGGAGGAATCCACTTGCATGACTCGTCTTCATGGAGGGGGGATGGGGATAGCAGAGCAACTAAGTCCTTTGTGCTCTTTAATATCCCACTATTGTCTGTCTGGTGTCAATGGACCTTCCCTGTTGGCCAGGACATAACACCTTCTGCTGGAGACCAGCCTTTCATACTAAGTAATGTCGCTTTCCTGTCTGGTGATTTACACAGTCACAGGGGCTCACAATACAACCACTCAAATATTACATAAGAATATAAGAATGGCCATACTGGGTCAAATCAAAGGTCCATCTACAGTATCCTGTCTTCGGGCAGTGGCCGATGCCAGGTGCCCCAGAGGGAATGAACAGAACAGGTGATCATCAAGCAATCCATCCCCTGTCGCCCATTCCCAGCTTCTGGCAAACAGAGGCTAGGGACACCAACCCTGCCCATCCTGGCTAATCGCCATTGATGGACCTATCCTCCATGAATTTATCTAGTTCTTTTTTGAACTCTGTTATAGTTTTGGCCTTGACAACATCCTCTGGCAAAGAGTTCCACAGGTTGACTGTGTTGTGGTAAGAAATCCTTCCTTTTGTGTGTTTTAAACCTGCTGCCTATTAATTTCACTTGATGATTCCTAGTTCTTGTGTTATGGGAAGGAGTCAATGACACTTCCCTATTCACTTTCTCCATCCCAGTCATGATTTTATAGACCTCAATCATATCCCCCCTTAGTCGTCTCTTTTCCAAGCTGAGAAGTCCCAGTTTATTAATCTATCCTCAAATGGAAGCTATTCCTTACCCCAATCATTTTTGTTGCCCTTTTCTGTACTTTACAATGTGGGATACAGATACTATAAGAGGGATGAATGCCGGCAGCAACTCAAGTATTCAATAAAATCTAAACACCAAACACATTCTTATAATTCTAACACCTATTTTAAAAACACTGACACACAGGTGAGACAGACTTATTCCAACCAGGAATTTGTCAGTGTTTCATTGAGGCATGGGGACCTTCGCATGAGCTGGCACCTGGTCTGCGAGCATCACACCTGGCACAGTGGGTCCCCAATTCTGCTTGGGGCCTCTGGAATAGGCCTTGAAAGCCGATGGTGCAAGCACCAACCAGTTGATTCACTGTGACTCGTGCTGCAGCATCATGAGTCTAGGAAATCCAGTTCTCGAGCAACCATCTTTGCCACAAATAGTGCAGGTATACGGCACAGGACCAGAGGAGGAAGTGGGTGTATTACTAGCTCTTGAGCCCTTTCCTCTTCTCTCTCTTTGCTTCCCTCTCTCTTAACCACCTCTCGCCAGCCTCTTTGATTCCATAGTGCAGTGCAGCCCTCCAGCACGGCCTTTTGCTAACTGCCGCTTCCTAGCTTACCAGGTCAGTGTTGAAAGTTTTCAGGTCCTTGGGACATTCACAAGTTTTCCATACTGGAGACCCTTTGGAGTGTGTCCATCGTTCATCCAGAGCAGTAATTAAGACAACAATGAAGAAATCTGTGTTTAGTGATGAAATTTGGGGGTTTTGCTTTCTCAAGTTCTTTGCTGCCAGGAAGTTTGGTTTCCAACTCGATATTTAGAAGATGGTGACGACAGCGGGTGTGGATGGAGTTTAGCTTTCTGTTGTGCCTCCTGTGGGCGGTCCGTCTCTCACCACCGTATAGCAGCATGCTCAGAACACTCATCTGGTAGACCCACACTGTGGTGTTCAGAGTTAGTTTCCCGTTATCACACACACACTTGGCCAGTTGGCCGAATGTGCTAGCTGCCTTTCCAATGCAAGAATTAAGCTCATCAGTGATTGAGACAAGTTATTTGATACAGTTGATCCTAGGAAGAAGAACTTGTGTCCAACTTCTAGTGTGGCGTTACCCATTGAAGCATCTGGTGCAGTCAACACACCTTGTGCCAAAATCATTTTCTTCTTTAGATTAACGGGTAATCCAAAGTCACCGCAAGCTAGCACAAACCTATCGCAAAGTTGCTGGAGCACCTCTTCACTGTGTGCAACAAATGGCCTCTGGACTACCAATTAATTAATTAATAATAATAACAATAACTACAATCATAATAATTAATTAATTAATAGTTTCCCCTGCTGTTCTATTACCTCATAAAGATGATGAATTTGGGGAGATGGACTGCATGTGAGGAAGACAAGCAGGGTTTAGTCCAGAGGTGGGCAAACTACAGCCCCGGGGCTGCATCCGGCCCTTCAGACCATTTAATCCAGCTCTCGAGCTCCCGCTGGGGAGCAGGGTCCAGGGCTTGCCCCACTCCAGTGCTCCAACCAGGGAGTGCGGTCGGGGGCTTGCCCCACTCCACACATGCTGTGGCTCCGCATGGCTCCTGGAAGCAGTGGCATGTCCCCCTTCCGGCTCCTACATGTAGGGGCAGTCATGAGACCCCAATTCCACCTCTGCAGCTCCCATTGGCCGGGAACTGCAGCCAGTGGGAACTGCAGGGGCGGCGCCTGCAGACGAGGCGCAGAACTGCCTGGCCGTGCCTCCACGTAGGAGCCAGAGCGGGGACATGCCGCTGCTTCTGGGAGCTGCTTGAGGTAAGCGCCACCGGGAGCCTGCACCCCTGACCCCCTCCCGTGTCCCAACCCTCTGCCCCAGTCCTGATCCCCCTCCCACCCTCCAAACCCCTTGGTCCCAGCCCGGAGCACCCCCAACCCCACCCCACCCCAGAGCCCGCACCCTCAGATGGAGCCACACCCCAACCCCCACCCAAGTCTGAGCCCCCTCCCACACCCTGAAAGCCTCCTTTCTGGCTCCACCCCAGAGCCCACACCCCCCCACTGGAGCCCTCACCCCTCCCACATCCCAACCCCCAATTTTGTGAGCAGTCATGGCCCGCCACACAATTTCCATTCCCAGATGCAGCCCTGGGGCCAAAAAGTTTGCCCACCCCTGGCTTAGTCCCTGGTGCTGCAATTATAGAGGTTTCCTCTAGTTTTCTGCGAGTAGCCCAAAGCAAGTGGGGATCAGAAGGTTGTCTGAGCTGCCTGTTGACTCTTCGTGTTGGTGAAAGCAGCTGGATTGGCATCCCTTGCAAGTAAAGTCCACTTTAGCCACAGACCAGATATAGCACAGTGCTAGCTTCCCCCACACCAATCCAGCTCCCTTTGAGCGTTCTTCGCCTACTAGCTCTTGTCCTTTCTGCACAGTCCATCGCGGGTCTCCTGAACAATTGTGGCAGGTTTTGTGATCTGAACACTTGCCTGTGGAATGGCCTGTGACAGTTCATGCCAAAGTTTGTGGCTAACTTGCAGCCTGGCTGATCCCCCTTATCTCTCCCTACACCTGCAGTCGCTCAAAGATCACAGCGGTGTCTGACTTGGCACTCTGTGGTCTGAGCCGTTTTGGTTTTGTTGTCCTTGAGACTTTGTAGATCTCATTTCCCATTTTTATTTCTCAGTCACACATTTGGGTGAGAGAGACATTCACAAACCAGTCAGGAAGACCACCTGACATGGACCAGCTGCGAAGTTTTCCACTCACAAAGTGGGCAGGAAAAGAGGAAAATACCTATCAGAATGTGACCAGAGTAATTCCGAGTCGACAACTTGGGGAAGGTAAGAAGCATTCGATCTTTTATTTCATCTTTTCTGGGCTTCCTTTTCTCTGCAGTTCAGCTTTGCTGAGTGGCAGTCACTGGTGGGCATAGAATCATGGAATATCAGGGTTGGAAGAGACCTCAGGAGGTAGTCCAGTCCAACCCCTGCTCAAAGCAGGGTATGGGACGCACAGCCTGCTCTGACAGCTTGAGCTGCACAAGTGGTGCTCAATCTGTTTCTGAATTTTTCCTCCACCTCAGAGGGGCCAAAGAAAACAACCCCGGCTTGTGTTATGCAGGAGGTCAGCTGGATGGTCCTGATGCTTCTTTCTGGCCCTATGAATCTGTCTGTACAGAAACACAGCTTGACCAGTTTTTTAAAAGAAAATGATCAGATTTGAGGGGAAGATTCTTATTTTATCTGAATTGGTTCAGCCACTTCCTGCCAGAACTAATTTTTGGAATTTCCAAAATTTCTAGATATTCCCCTTCTCCTGGGGTCTAGTTTGTGTAGTTCATACAGCTTCCCCAAAAGACATCAGACTCTCCCAAAACCTTAAAGGGGCATGCCATGCAATCAGGGTAGGCTAAGCACTAGCCACCACTACCTTTAAAGGGACAGACTCCCCCCCCTCCCCCACAGCCATATAATTATAGGCCTGCCTGCCTGATGTTGATCCAAAGCAAAATAAAAGGTGGTTGATATGGGACTCAAATAATAAAGAATTTAAGGAGGTTTATACAATTAATGCCAATCAACATGTGTTTATGTAAAATAGATCTTGTCAAACTAACTTGGTATCTTTCTTGGATGAGATTACAAGTTTGGTTGATCATGGTAATAGTGTTGATGTAATATAATTGCAATCTGTAAGGCATTTGACCTGGTACCGCCAGGGCCAGATTAATCATTTGTGGGCCCCAGCGCCAGGACCGTAGCCCCGCCTCCCACTTCTCCTGCGCTCTGCCCCAGGCCCCACCCGCACTTGGCCTCTTCCCCCCGAGGCCCTGCGCCCGCTTGGCCTCTTCCCCACAAGAGCCTGCCCCAATCAGCTTTTCCCCCCTAGGCCCTAGGGGGAGGGGTGGAGAGGAGCAAACGGTGGGTGGTGCCTCGGGGGGAAGAGGCCGAGCAGGGGTGGGGCCTCAGGGCAGAGCAGGGGGTGGGGACACAGTCTGGGTGCCCAGGCTCCTTCTGAGTGTGGGCCCGGTGCCACGGCATCATTGGCGCCATTGCAAACCAGGCACTGGTTAAGAAACTAGAATCATTCAACATCAACATGGCCCACATTAAATGGATTTAAAACTGGCTAACTAATTGTAACTGTGAATGGGGAATCTCAGAGAACAGGTGTGTTTTTAGTAGTATCCTGCAGGGATCAGTTCTTGTTTTCCTGGAAGAAAACATAAAATCATCACTGACACAATTTGCAGGTGTCACAAAGATGGGGGAGTGGCAAATAGTGAAGAGGATGGGTCAGTGAATGAGCTAGACCACTTGGTGAGCTGGGCACAAGCAAACAATTTGCATTTCAATACAGCCAAATGTACAGCCATACATCTAGGAACAAAGAATGGAGCCACACTTACAGGATGGGGGACTCTGTCCTGGGTAGCACGGACTCTGAAAAAGACATGGGACTCACGGTGGGTAATAAACTGAATATGAGCTCCCAGGGAGATGCTGAGGCCACATGGGCTAATGTGATCCTGGGAGGCATAACCAGGGTTTCTTGAGTAGGAGTGAAGAGGGTGTATTACTTTTATGTTGGTCACTGGTGCTACTGCTGCTGGATACTGTGTCCAGCTCCTGCGTCTGCACTTCAAGAAGGATGTTGATAAATTTCAGAGGGTTCAGGAAAGTGCCACCAGAATTATTAAAGTATTAGAAAACCTGTCTTACTGAATCATAGAAATGTAGGCTTGAAGGGACCTCGAGTGGCCATCTAGTCCAGCCCCCTGTGCTGAGGCAGGACCACGTAAACCTAGACCAGCTCTGACAGATGTTTGTCCAACCTGTTCTTAAAAACCTCCAATGACGGTGTGACGGGTTCTCTGGGGTGCAACCTGGAACTGGAATACCGCTGAGCCCTCTGACATACCAACCTGGGCTCCCTCTCACACTGTGATGCTGTGATAAGCTGCAAACCTCTCCAGGTTCTGCACTTACACAGCCATCCACAGGCAGGGACACACGCAGCTGAGTTACATGAATGTTTTCACCAGCCACTCACGAACTAACAATAGAGAGGCTCCAGACTAGGGCCCCAAGGCTGTACCCTCCTGCCCTGTTCAGAAGCCTGACCAGTGTAAATTTATTACGCAGTCTGCCCCTCCCTCAACGTGGAGAGGGCATGCACCAGCTTTTGTACAGTGAGCAGATTTCCCAAGCATTTCAACCAAACCACACTGTTTAAGGTAAAATATAAAACAGATTTATTAACTACAGAAAGATAGATTTTAAGGGATTATAAGTAGTAAGAGAACAGTTCAAAGTTGGTTACCTAAGAAATAAAAGTAAAATCACAATCTGAGTTCTATTAACTAGACAGGATTTGAATCAAGCAGTGTCTCATCCTGATGATATAGTTCCTTACTACACAAGCTGGAATTCTCCTTTCCAGGCTGGGTCCACCTTCCCCTTGTCAGTCTTTGTTCTCCTTATGTGCTTCCAGGTGTTGCCTTGTGGGGGGAAAGTGAGGCCAAGTAATGATGTCACTTCCCCTCTTTTATGGTTTCTTCCAGCCTGCTGGAAACATCTATGCTTGTGACATGGGTCAAGCAGTCTCCATTGCCTGTGTTCTCTCTGGGAAGTCTCCATTGAACAGATTCCTGGAACAGTCCTTGTGAGTGTGGATTCCCTTTAATGGGCCATCAGCATGTCTGGCTCCTCCATTGTTGCACCTGATAGGCTGGTTGTGGGTGTTCCCAACCTCACAACATATTTCAGTAATGCACACACACACACACACAGCAAAACTTCATAACTCCACATACAATAACAGCACATACAATCCAACAGGATATTAATGTTCAACAGATCAAGCCTTTTAAAATGATACTTCTCAAGACATAGTTTGTACAAAATGTATCATAAATATATCACCATGGTAGATGTGGGGGTGCCAGGGTACTGCTTTGGAGCACTGAGTGCCACATACGGGAACTCCGCAACCTCCGTTGGACACCTATTCCGGAGCTTAAATACCCTTAGAGTTAGAAAGTTTTTCTCAATATCTAACCTACATCTCCCTTGCTGCAAACTAAGCTGATCACTTCTTGTTCTATCTTCAGTGGATATGGAGAACTTATCACCATCCTCTTTATAACAGCCTTTAACATATTTGAAGACTGTTATCAGCTCCCCCTTCAGCCTTCTCTTCTCTAGATTAAAAAAGCCCAATTCTTTCAACCTTTCTTCATCAGTCAGTATAGCAGGATGACCATGTATATAGTGACCCCTCCTGGCCAGGGATGTCTCTGCAGGCTCCTCACCACTGAGTTTTTTTCTTATAAGGGCCCTTTAAGAATTTACAGGGGCTTTCTCTGATTAATAACGCTCTTACATGGGGCTAGTTTAGTACAGAACCAGTTTACAACAACCCAGAGTCCTAAACGAAAGCCAGTTCCAACCACACAAAGTCCTTGTGTTTTCTCTTGCCCCCAGGGCTCTTCTTCAGGCCCAGTCTGATCTCCCAGGCAGCTCGCCCAGCACTCCCTTGCTGGGACTCTGACATTCAGTCTCAAACACAGTCAGGGTTTCCTGCACCCCAACTGCCTCCCACTCACTGAGCTATACCCTCCACGCTCTGTGGTGCCGTGGTCCTGCAGCACCCCTTTTTCTCCCTGAAGTATCCTTCAGCATAGCTGCAGCTCCTTGTGCTTCCCTCTTTTCCTGCTCTTTGTAGAGAACTGCCTTATCCCCCTCAGGTGGGGCTCATTCCGTATTAGGGTTGGCTTAGCCCCAGGCTCTCCAGCTGGCAGGGCAAGGCACCCTGTTACAGTCAGGTTTTCTCTTATCATTTTTGTTTTCCTCTGGACTCTCTCCAATTTGTCCACATCTTTCTTAAAGTGCGGTGCCCAGAATTGGACACAAGCCTCCGGAGGAGGCCTCACCAGTGCTGAGCAGAGTGGGACAATTACCTCCTGTGTCTTACGTATGACATTCCTGTTAATACAACTCAGAATGACATTTGTCTTTTTCGCAACTGCATCATGTTCTTGACTCATATTCAATTTGTGATCCTCTATAAGCCCCAGATCCTTGTCAGCTGTACGGCTGCCTAACCACTCCCCCCCCCATTTTGTGTTTGTCACATTTTTCCTTTCTAAGTGTAGTACTCCACACTTATCTTTATTGAATTTCATCTTATTGATTTCAGACCAATTCTCCAATTTGTCAAGATCATTTTGAACTCTAATCCTGTCCTCCAAAGTTCTTGCAACCCCTCCCACTTTGGCGTCATCTGCAAATTTTATAAGCATGCTCTCCATCCAAGTCGTTAATGAAAATATTGAATAGTACCAAACTCAGAACAGACCCTTGTGGGACCCTACTGGATACATCCTCCTGGTTTGACAGTGAACCATTGATAACTATTCTTTGAGAATGGTCTTTTAACCAATTGGGCACGCACCTTATAGTAATTTCATCTACACCACATTTCCCTAGTTTGCTTAGGTTGGATATTGGGGAAAACTTTTTCACTAGGAGGGTGGTGAAACACTGGAATGTGTTATCTAGGGAGGTGGTGGAATTTCCTTCCTTAGATATTTTTAAAGTAAGGCTTGACAGAGCCCTGGCTGGGATGATTTAGTTGGGGATTGGTCCGGCTTTGAGCAGGGGGTTGGACTAGTTGACCTCCTGAGGTCCCTTCCAACCCTGATATTCTATGATTCTATGATTCTATGAATATCATGTTGGACTGTGTCAAAAGCCTCAATAAAGTCCAGATATATCACATCTACTTCTTCCCTGCTATCCACTAGTAAGAAACTCAAGGAGCTAGTCTATTTAGCTTATGAAAGAGCGGTTAAAGGATGGCTTGATCACAGTTTATAAGTACCTTCTTGGGGAACCCAAATTTAATAATACAGGGTTCTTCAGTTTAGCAGACAAAGGCATAACAGTGGTTATGTCTTTGTCAACCTTTTTTCAGTTGTGGACTCCTAAAAATATTGAATGAAGGTGCAAACCCCTTTGGAAATCTTAGATATAGTCTGTGGACCCCCAGGAATGTGTGGACCACAGGTTGAAAACCACTGTTTTGTGGTAACAACAACCTTTCATCGATGTCTTAGACATAGTCTGCAGAGCCCCAGGGATCCACAGACCATAGGTTGAAAACCACTAGTACAACACAATCCCGTGGCTGCAAGTTGAAGCTAGACAAATTCAGACTAGAAATGAGGCACAAATTTTTAGCAGTGAGGGTACTTAATCATTGGAACAACTTATCAAAGGCTGTGGTGGATTCCCCATCACTGGAAATTTAAAAATCAAGACTGGATGTTTTTCCGAAAGGTACACTCTACATCAACCACAGCTATTGAACTTGAAGTAGGAATTATCTCAGGGCAGTCCTTTGTCCTGTGTTATGCAGGACATCAGACTAGATGATCACCGTGGTACCTCTGGACTAGAAATCTATGAATCTATGAATTTCTAATTTACACAACCACTTAATAAATTTAAATATTTATAAGACTCTGTGTGTGTGTATTCTTTTTATTGTATTAGTATATGATTTTATCTTTATTATAATTAATAGCATTTCAGCCCTTGCAATGCAGCTGTAACATTTCCTCTTCTCCTTCAAGGAAGACTACCTGAGACATCTCAGAAGAGAGAGGTCATCATCCGTGCTGTACTTATGCTGCTGAGTCTTTCCCTCAGTGCTTCTTTTGTTACTATGACCATTATGTGTAAGTTCAACTATAGCTATAAACTCAACATTTATGTGAGTTTTGGGGGGTGGAGGTGGGAGGAGGGTAGCAAAAAACTGTTAAGTGTTGAAGGCTGGAATGCCATTGCCTCGGTAATACTGTTCAGGCTGCTTGAGCCGTTCCAGCTGCTCAGTTCTTCTGTTCTTGGAGCTCCAGTGTTATCAGCACTAGCAGAGAGTGCAGCCTGCTAATTCAACAGACCTTGATGTTACTCATAAAGAAAGACCACTGGCACAGTTCGCTGACAAAGGCACTCGGCCAGGTTTATTGCCCTCAAGGCACATTCCTAGTGTCCCCAAGGAGCTACAGATACACTAACACATGAGTCCCCCATTGCAAGGAATGGCTCAGTCAGCAGTGGGAATTTCTGCTGTCTCCTCGGCCACACACAGGACTAAGGCGAGGTACCCTGACATTTATAGTCTGAGACAAACAATTTATCTACCCACCTTATGTGTCTCATGACATCTGCTTGTTACCTTGCTCCAGATGTCATGGGCAAAACATCCCTCTTCCTCATTTCTGTCAAACCCTCTTATCTTGTGCTAGGTCAGGATGTATCTGGGCTGATCTTTTGGAATGTGTTCACATACATACCCAGTATCTGTTGCTTCTTAGGAGTGCCTGTGTTTTAGCAAGGCAGTGCCCTTGCCAAGTTCATATATCGGACAGTGAACGTGTAAGCATCTGCTTTCATACATGGCTTGACTTTGCTGACTATGGTTCAGACCTTAGCTCTTACACCAGGCCCAGTGCTCCAGGCTCGCTCACTCTCTGACAAAAAACATCCATTTAATGATAGGGTTTTTTAATATTTAACTATGTTACAAAAAGAACTTGAAGGTTGCAAGTAGGACCATTCAAAAGTCAGAAAATTCCAAAATTAAATTAGTCCCAAAAACTCTTAAGTCTTCCCCCACACTTTGACATTGGTTACAAATAGTTTATAAATACAGGATCACATTCTCTTTGTTCTGCTGGCTCCTTGTCTCATCCAGTGTGAAGGCTGGACAGTGTGCAGGAAATGAGGAATTTGTTCAATATGTATTTTTGTCCTCTCGCCTTTGAGGGGATGCCTGCCTAATTTATTATACATCCCTCACTCATTCAGTGACAGCAGTGTCCATTCAGATATATACCATGGTAATTGCCAATAGAATTTGACCAAAAATAAGGCATAGATCCATAAATTTCAGCCCAAAACATGAAAGCTAACAAACGCCTAATCAACTTTGAAAAGATCCTTTAGAATGGAAATATTGAGGAATTGTAATTATGCCACGTGCCCTATGTCACTCTGTATTCAAACTACAATATATGGAAGGAAGATTTAGGAAAATACCACAGAGTGATCCAGGCTTCCTGCAGCATCAGCATAGACATTCTCTGGCGTGTTCTATGCAGGAGGGCAGACTAGCTGATCTTATGATCTCTTCTGGCTTTAAAATCTATTAATCTAAGCTTGCGGCGTCTCCTTCAGATGATTTAGTTAAACAGGTGTAATGTCTGTGTGTGAACACTCTTATTTCAGTATGAGTGTGTTACACTGAAATTGACTTTAAGTGAATCAGTCTGAGGCATTCAGAAACTAAACTATGAGGCTCCCCACAAGGAAGTTGCACCCGTTTAACCAAATCGGTTTATAAACCAATTTAATTTTCTCATGTAGACAAACCCTTAGCACCCACCGGCGTGGGGGAGGGCATTGCAATCCAATTTCTTCTTTCTCCTCTGAAGACAGGGGGCAAAGTGTCGACTCTCCAGTTATTTCTCCCTCCTGTCATCTCTTGTAGATCACCAGGAGCTCAGGAAGAAACACCAAGTTGCAGAAGCGATTCAGAGAATCAAAGACTTTTTGAAGCTTGGCAATGCATCTTATTCACCAGCCCTGGAACAAAATGGCAAGTATTATTATTATATTAGAAAGTATTAGAATCTTGTCTGCTGGCTTTTCCTACTGATCCCCTTACTCACACTGAGCAGTGCCTTACTCCATGTGTTGTCCCATTCGTTCCAGCGGGGCGTGAAGATGGCACCCCATGCATAGGTGGGTATTTTACTGCATTTATCTACACTTTGTGTCACTTCAGGGTATTTGCTGGACTGTGAGTCAGGCCCGGGTCCGTTCAGACCTAGTATGCCTGGAGCTTACAACTATGGACACAAGACATCCTAAACCCTCAGAATATCATCTGAGATCCTGGGGTGGGCAATTGCTATCGCTTGGACCTACACCGCATGGCAGTGCCCCTTTAACTATTTTAATGGGTTTTAGGCTCATTACTGGACACGCTGCAGCTGTTAATGGGCCCTTTGGAGGAAGTCGGTACCTCCCGTGCCACGATGCGGAAGCAGTACAGTAAGTAACGGGAGCAAATGCTGCAGGGAATCTAACTACCAGTGGGACAGGCATTAAAGTAAGGGGGTGGGGGAGGGTGAAAGAGGGCAGCCAACCCATCTCTTCCTCTCCTGGGCTTGTGGGGAGCTCAGTCTGAACCACTGGTCAGTGTTTGTTACGTGCCCCTGCTCCGTGCCCGATCCACGGAGGGTGTGAGCCTGTCTCAGTTCCAGCTACGGGGTCTGGCTCTCCAGCTCAAGCTGTAGTGACTCGTGCTTCCCGCCCTGGAGGCTCCTGGCTCATTCCCCTACGGCGGTCGTCACATCGGCTTTGCAGAAACTATAATGCAGCTTGAACGTGGGTTACCTTCCCCAGGTGATTTCCACAAGGCTGGAGGCGGGAGGAAGACATGGCACCCCACAGTTCAGCCTGGCTATACCCCCTTCTCCTACACAGCCCCTGGACTGTGGAGAGAGAGTGCCCCATGTCTGGGGTGGGGAGGGGGAACGGTGCCATGGAGTTCGTGGTTCTACCTGCAAAGGGGGAGATCTGTACTTGGAGGGCCCTTCCACATGCAGGCTGGAGAGGGGTACAATTAGGGTTGCCAGGTGTCCAGTTTTCGACTGGAACTCCAGGTCGAAAAGAGACCCCAGCGGCTCCGACGACCAGGTGTTAAAAGTCCAGCCGGCGGCACAGCAGGGCTAAGGCAGGTTCCCTGCCTGCTGTGGCTCTGTGTGGCTCCTGGAATCAGGGGCATGTCCCCCCTCTGGGTCCTGTGTGTAGGAGCAGCCAGGGGGCTCTGCACGCTACCCCTACCCCAAGCGTCAGCTCTGCAGTTCCCATTGGCCAGCAGCCACGGCCAATGGGAGCTGCGGGGGTGGTGCCTGCGGATGGGGCAGTGCGCAGAGCTGCCTGGCTGCACCTCCGTGTAGGAGCCAGAGTGGGGACATGCCACTGCTTCCAGGAGCTGCTTGAGGTATGCGCCGTCTGAAGCCTGGACCCCTGACCCCTCCTGCACCCTGGACCCCTCATTTCTGGCCCAACCGCAGAATCTGCAGCCCCCAGCCCAGAGCCCGTACCTCCTCCCATACCCCAACCCCCTGCCTCAGACCGGAGCCCCCTCTCTTACTCTGAACCCCTCAGCTCCACCTCCCAGCCGGGAGCCCGCTCCTACACCCCAAACTCCTCATCCCTGGCCCCCCTCCAGAGCTCTCACCCCCATCCAGAACCCTCACCGCCTCTCACATCCCAACCCACTGCCTCAGCCCGGAGCCCCCTCCCACACCCTGAACTCCTAATTTCAGGTCCTACCCTGGAGCCCTCACCCCTCCCGCACCCCAACCCCCTGAACCAGCCTGGTGAAAATGAGAGAATCAGAGAGGGTGGGGAGAGCAAATGACATAGGGAGGAGGGATGGAGTGAGCGGAGGAGACCTCACAGAAGAGGCGGAGCATGGGCGGGGCCTCGGAGGAGGGGCAGGGTAGGGGACAGGGCAAGGGTCTTTGGTTTTGTTTGAGTAGAAAGTTGGAAACTTTAGGCACCATCTGTCCCATAAAAAGACACTCATGGTGTGTATTCTTCTGGTAAAAGAACAAGTGGGACCTGTGCTACGGGGCTAAAATTAGCAATGTAGATGTTTGGGCTCGGGCTGGAGCCTGGCCTCTGAAACCCAGTGAGCAGAGAAGGTCTTGAAGCCCAGGCTCCAGCCAAGCCCCAAATGTCTACACTGCTACTTTTAGCCCCGCAGCACAAGCCCCAGGACCCCAAGACTGTTAACCCAGGGTCTGATGCTCGCTGCGGCATGGTTTGGGGTTTTTTTGCTGTATAGACGTCCCCTTAGAGACACTCCACACCATGGAACCATTGGTGCAATCAATGGGGGCCTTCAGGTGAAGAGATCTTTGCAGTAAACGGGAAGGAGCTGCTGTCAGGGCTTGCTCTGTGCTGAAAGAATCATGGCTTAGAAGTTCCCTGAATCTGTAGCTGTCGAGAGGCAGAGGGTTGGGGGAAAAGCAGCTCCAGAAATCCTGACCTCTCTGTGTATTTCCCAGGAGAGTGTAGCACCTTTGTACTGCGCTTCTGACCTCAGTCTCTGCTCCTAGGTGACGTGCTGACAAAGCTCTCCAGCGGCTGGAGATTTAACGGTGGGAACCTCTATTACTTCTCACGAGAGACAAAGTCCTGGGAGGAGGCCGAGCGGTTCTGTGTGTCTCAGGACTCGCACCTGAGCTCCATTGTCACGGAGGCAGAGCAGGTGAGAGCAGTAACTTCACAGCGGCCTGAAGGATGATTGAATCACCTCCCAATCACCTGTGATATCTCCGCCCCATGCCACAAGCCATCAGGGGTGGAGCCAGAGTCCACCACTTCCCAGGCTTTCCAGTCCCCTCCCCAAAGGAGACTCAGAGGGAAGCTGGTTCCCACTTTGTTGTACTTCTGTAGCACCTTTCTGTGCCACAAATGGAGACTCTGCCCTGTACTTCTCTCCTCCAGCCCAGCCCCTTCTTCACAGAGAGCTCCAGGGAGCTCCTAGAGCCAGGACTTGAACTGGGAGCATAAGCCCCTGTCCGGCATGCGGACATCAGTGGAGTTACTCCTGATTTACACCAGTCAGATGGGAACTGGGCCCTTCACTTACCAATCAAATACAGCAGAAGACTTTCCATGTAACACCTATTAACCCCCGGCAGCCGTGGCTGGATTACTATCATATTGCTCAGGGTCCTGTGGGTGAAATGTAAGCAATATAAGTTGTGTTTTGCAGAAATATCTTGTCAATGCAACCTGGGGAACACATCGCTGGATTGGACTCACTGACAAAGGGACAGAAGGCAACTGGCGCTGGCTGGATGGTGCTGAATACACAGGAGGGTAAAGTTTGAAATGAATCATTATGCTGCTGCCACGTATTAATTATCTAGGAAACGGCTACGGATGCTCCTGCCTATAGGGGATCAGCGTCAATGCTCAGGCCTGTGCTCAGCAGAGCCAGCTGAAGAAAGAAAAGGGAAGATTTCACGAACATTTTCAAAAGAAATGACTTACCCATTCTTTAATGAAAGCTTTGTTCTTTCTCCAAAGAGAAATAGTTTGTTTTGGGTGGGTTGGTTTTCATTGCTTTCCAAATGATTTGTAGATATTGTTCCTTTGGAGAAGGTGCATTTTAACCCAGTTCAGGTACTTCTATGGCCCCCTTTTACCATGCCTCACAACCTTTAATTGGCCAAGCTTGTAAAGGCCATATACTCAAGGGGGGCCAGGTCTATGCTACAGACCAAGTGTGAAAAATCCACACCCCTGAGTGACAGAGTTATACCAGCTTCACCCCCCCGTGTACACAGCGCGATCGTAACGCCGATAGAACCCAGTTGTCAGCAGCCAGGATCAAACCTGGGACCTCTGCAGCTTAGTGCAGGAGCCTCTATTGCATGAGCTAAAAGACACCTCTCTCTTAGCCAAGGCTGTAGCAGCCTCATTGAGCTCTAGCTGGTCTGGCTGCCACTACAGGGGGACAGAGCGCCAGCCCAAGCAGGCTTGGGTTACACTGTCGACGGGAGAGCTTCTCCCAACGACGTAGCTGCCGCCTCTCCGGCAGGTGGATTAACTCCGCCGATGGGAGATGCTCTCCTGCCCGCGTAGGCAGCATCTTCCCGAGGACGCTGCAGCTTCGCTGTGATAGTGCGGTACGTGAAGACGAGTCCTGATGTCGTTACTGTGTTTGCCTGGAGTGCACTAACTATTGAACACTAGCCATCGATTCCAGCATTAATGGCCAGAATCCTGTTGATTTGTGGGGGAATCAGCACTCCACAGAGGGAAAGGGGGGCACATGGAGCCCCTGCCATCTGTTTAGCATACAGCCCCAGCTTCCATTCATTGATCAAACAGTTGGTTGATGGTGCATTAGTGCCTTCCAGCATAGCAGTAACCCTACTCAGCCTCCCAATCGAGCTGGATGTGTTGACACCCTGAGTGACCTATCGCCCAGGCAGATAATACTGGTGGTGGGACTGGGAGGAGGCGGATAAGGACGGGAAATGGTCACTTGCACACAGCCGCTGGCATGGGCAGGAATGGGGAAACTCTAGTATGGGAGCAAGGGGAAATGGGGGCACACAGACCCCCTGGTTGGGGGAGATTGTGGGACCTTTGTAGGGGGGAAGGGGAGCACTGGGGGTGCACCTCGAGCCTCTGCCATGGTGGAGAGAATGGGGGACCTGCTATGTGCGGAAAGAGGAAAGGGAGTGTACAGCGCCTCTGCATGGGTGTGAGAATAGGGGACCCTGCTATGGAGGAAGGGGGCCCACACACAGCCCTGGTAGGAGGGGAGAGCATATGGGGACCCTGGGGAATGGGGCCCCAGAGAGACCCTGGCGTGTGGGGGACGTGAATCCCTGAAGTAGAGGGCGATGAGATGGTGGCAGACAAGGAGCTGGGGGGGCGGGGGGAATGGAGCTGCCAAAGGAGCCCTGGGGTGGGCAATGAGCTCTTCCTGCAGAAGCTCTGAAATGTGCAACCCCCCAAGTAAAAAAAAATCTTTGTAAATGAAGTCCAGTCCATTCAATCAACAGGAAATTTCATTTTATTTCTAGGTTCTGGGCTACAGGTCAGCCAGACAACTGGAATCAGAGCATAGACAGGACAGAGGACTGTGTGTTCCTAGACTCATTCCAAAGCGGTTTTTGGAACAATGTCAACTGCACTTTCCTGGAAAGGTGGATTTGTAAGAAGTTCGCTGCGCTGTGACGTGGCAGGTCTGAACACAGTGGAGCATACTGTCCCCGCCCTGGCTAGAAGAGCAGACAGGAAACAGCATGTCCTATTGCAACACAGTGGCAAAAAGAAAACTAGGCTGAGATAGATGCAGTGCTGCCAGCTCCCACAATTTCATCACAAACCCTGTAATATTTTTGGGAGGGGCAGGAGGAGAGGCTGACCCAGAAGTTTTGAAGACTTGCGGGTGGCAGCACCGTAGTGATCCCTGCGGGGTCAGGTCTACGTAGGTCGGCCATTCAAACGTTCCCAGAATACCGGACGTTCCGATACTTCCAGGAATGGCGTGGGCCGGCCCCCGCTGGTGTGACCTCACATACATGGTGCATGTGAGGTCACACCACATAGGGAGCACCATTTTGCAGAGCACACCCTCCTTTCCCGCCCATGCCAGCACAATCTTGCACGCACGGTGTTCAGAATGGCATCCCCCATCTAATACAGGACAAAACCACGCCCAGTTTTGTCTCAGTACCGGATGGGGGACAAACCATCCAAAAAGATGACTGTCCGGTTCAAAATGGACAAGTGGCCTCCCAAAGTCCAAGGAGGGGTTTCATCCCTCTCTTGGTCCAAAGCTGGAAAAAAATAGATTCAACTGGTTTGTGTGACAGCAACAGCCAAGCCACCGTAAAATCCTGGCCTCTTAATGCCAATAAATATCAAAGCTGCAAAGAGTCCTGTGGCACCTTGTAGACTAACAGACGTACTGGAGCGTGAGCTTTGGTGGGTGAATCCCCACTTCGTCGGATGCATGTGTTTGTTTAGTCTGGGAATATTTTTGCATGCATCCGACGACGTGGGTGTTCACCCACCAAAGCTCATGCTCCAATACGGCTGTTAGTCGAGAAAGTGCCACAGGACTCTTTGCCACTTTTACCGATCCAGACTAACACGGCTCCCCCTCTGATACTAAATATCAAAACATCCCTAGATAATAGAATAAAAATATTCTACTCTGTTGTGTTTTCCTTTCTTATCATAATGAGTTTTGTCTTCCTTTTTCTCCCCATTCTCTAACTATTTCAAGTTATTTTTTTCTCTAAAATGTCCTCTCCTAATTCAAGATTTTTTCCTGGTTTCTTCTTTTTCCCTTATCCATCTTCGGTTTCTTAACAATAAGTGCTGCAGCAGGCAGGCAGAGTTGTAGGGGACAGGTCTATAATCATTATGCTAAGATGCCAGCATTACATACTGAGGCTCTAAGGATTGTGCGCTAGCTCGCCACCCCTTCCCCCAAGACCCCCCTCCCACCCTGCCTCTTCCCCCGCCTCCCCTGCCCCGTTCTGTACCCCAAGCCTCTTCCTGTCCAGTTCTGCCCCCTCCCCTGATTGCACCCCTTTCTTGCTCCTCCCCTGCCCGTGTATCCTGCATGCTGTTAGAGGGCTTATTCCTTCACCCACTTACTTCCCTGGTCCTTCTCGCATGAACAGAGAGCAACAATACCCGAAGTCCAAAGGTGCAAACAATTCGATGTTTATTGGGGTGAACTTCCAGCAAGCATGATTCCAGTTTCCTTCCCTTAGTGTCCCTCTTCCCAGCTCTGACACCACAGAGCCTTACACCTGTGTCCCTGTTCCCATTCCTGCCCTTAGCCAAACATGATTCCAATTTCCCCACCCCATTCCCTGTTCCCATTTCCCTCTTTAGCAAAACATGATTCCAATTTTCCCACCCCATTCCCTGTTCCCATTCCCCCCCCCCCGCACCCACCCACTTCCTGACTGACTGCAGACTATATAGTAAAACTTGAGTTCTGCTTTGCTATACCTTAACCAATCATTTTCCTGAAATTTAACTAACCAATCCTAACATATTGTAACATGATTATGTAACCAATTATATCCCACCACCTTAATTAGTTTACACCCAGCAAAATTAATTATACAGCAGACAGAAACAATCACAGAACCAGACAGAGATGATACAGACAAACAATAGCAAAGTGGGAACTATAATGACAAAACAATACAGAAGTGAGGATTTCACATCCCAACTATTGATAAGTGAGTTCTTGCCAGACAGGATGCTATCAAACTAAGTTTCCTTTTACATCTTCTAGGCACTTTCCTTTCTCTGGAGGCGATAGGCATTATCAGGACAGGGTTGTATCCTAGCGGCCCAATAGCACCTTCTTTCAATGTGACTAGTTTGGAATATGAGGAGGTGACCGGTCGCTTCCCAGCTTATGGCTGCCTCTGTTGCTTAGCCAAAGGCCTTAGCCTAAGCACAGGGCCTCAGGCTGCCACAGTAAGAGAAGGCCCTTACACCGGCAGACAGTGATTTTGATTCTTTCTTTTATACCTCTAGACCTAGCCAAGTGATAAGAATACACCTAAATTCTTAGAGTATAGGCCTTTACAGACAGGCCTGAATATCTATATCCTAACACTCACCATGGAACAGCTGATCATGGCAGGTGGGAGGTGCTGGGAGGGAGGGAAGGAGGGAGAGGGAGCTAGCTGCTGGTGGGTGCTAAGCACCCGCTAATTTACTTCTGTGGGTGCTCCAGCCCTGGAGCACCCACAGAGTCGGCACCTATGCTAAGCACTGTGATGGAATGTGCCCCTGTGTCCACACCCTACACACTATTGTAATAATCTTTGTACAAAGTATGCCTTGTGAGGTATCATTTGAAAGCTCATAATTTGCTGGACATTATTGTCCTGATAAAATGCGTATGGCAATGTTGTATGTCAAGTTATAGGATCCCACTGTAATGTTATTAACACATGTTCCAAACCACAGCCAAAGTTGGCAAACAGGTCTGTCTCTAACAAAGGAATGTGTGCTCTGTTTAATTTGCATTTAAGCAGTAAACAGAGTCATGAAGCAGGAAGGGTAGACAAAGAAATCTCAAACAGATGAGGAAAAGCAGCAAGAAACACCCTCTCCTATAGATTCTTTGTCTCCTGAATTTCAGCTGGAAATGTTTTCCATGGGGGGACTGACACTATAAAAAGGAGAGACAAACAAACCAAGGCACCTCTCCTCTCTCTCTCTCCTCTCTCTCTGCGCTTATCTACATTATGCTAATAACAATCATTTTAAAACCCAGAACCAGTTGCAAACAAGCGGTGCAAAAGGTGTATTTTCTTGGTAAAAGAATGGGCTTCCACCTTCCCCCAGACCTCCCATGTCAGCACCCACAATTCAGCAACCCCCATTGCAGTAACCGATCAGTGACATCCAGGAATGCCTGTGCTACCAGCTGCAGCTCTCCATTCTTACATAAATGTACCCTGGACTCAGGTTACAGTCTCTCTTTGTGGTCTCTCGTTGTAACTTCGTCAAATGAGAACATTTATTTCCACCCCACGTCTCAATTAAAACAAAGCAAAACAATTTAGCCTGTGGTCAGCTGGCTGGTTTAGCGACTTGGTAAAGGGTTACAGATCGGCTTCGCCTCCCAACTCTTCTCCGGCACAAAATAGTTTCAAGTCTTGTTCAGTGTGGAAGAACGTAACAGACGATACTGGGTCTTGCGGTCACCAGTGTGGTCTTTAGCGCCTGGACCATTGGACCACGGTTACTGTCAGGGAGCATTTGAGGATACCATGGTACCTGGCCAGCCACAAATGATCATTTACAAACTCTCACAAGAGCTTCCCCACCAAAGTTATCCACAGAGGGAGGCGTGACGGTTTCTGAGCACGCTCTCCCGAGCACACAGGAACGACTGTCTGGGTTTTGAAAAATGTTTGGCTTATGGTCCCCTACTCGGATTGTTTTTAGCACCATCCACCTTTTACAATTAACAGCACTCTCCAGCACACCAGGCAGCGGGGGGGAGGGGAGGGGCCTCCTTCACCAGTCTCTGACACCACCGGTTGTTGTAGCCATGTTGGTCTCTCTGCCCGGAAGCAGGGGGATAAAGGGTGAAAGGGGTCTGAGGGCAGAATCCCCATCCTGTCTCCCCCAGCCCTTCAGTTGTGTCTGCCCCAGCTCCTGGAAGTCTGGTGTATAGCTCTCAGCTCTCTGAATCCCGCTTTTTCCTTCCTTGGAACAATGTCCTGATGCGGCTGGGAAATAGAGGGACGAGCCAGCCCAAGCTCTGTGCTGGTTTCCAGGGCCTGAAGCATGTTGAAGAGCTGCCCACTGTCCAGGAAGGAATTTCTGGGTAGCCTCCCTTAGGTGGGCTTTTCTCCCCAGAGGGGGAATGGTGATTTAACTGGGAATTGATGATTTAACTGGGAATTGGTCCTGCTTCGAGCAGGGGGTTGGACTAGATGACCTTCTGGGGTCCCTTCCAACCCTGATATTCTATGATTCTATGATTCCTCTCAGCCTGCCAACTCCCTCTGCCCCCAGGGATTTGATGCTGGCTGACCAGTCCCCTCCAGCACGGTGGTTAATTCTGCTGCTGTTTTGGGGGTCCAATGGAGGTTTTGCTTTATCTATCCCTCAGTGACGGCTGGATCCCTGGCCTCATCTTGCTGCTCCTGCATCTTCCTGTGTCCCCCACCTCCAGCCCTTCCAGTGGTGTCTTTTCCCCTCCCCCAGCCTCCAGCCTTGGTAGCAGAGTGTTCTCCCCACCTGCTCTGCTCCGCAGAGGTGGATTAAGATTTACTGGGGCACTGGGCACAAAGAACATTGCGCCCTCAGGGTGTGGGGAGCCCAGGCGGGCCAGAATCAGGGAAGGCATGGGGCCATGCCCCCCCCACACTTTTAAAAGTGGGAGAGCCATGCCCACCCACTTCTTAACATGGGCGTAGTAGCCTCAGGCAGGTGTGGAGAGGCAGTGGCATGAGCTTAGTTTGGGGGCTGCCAAAATCTTAACAACGGGTTCCCTCCTCACCCCACGAGGGGGTCGTTGCCCACCCCGCCCCGGTGGGACTCCTGCCCCATCCAACTCTCTGCGTTCCTTGACGCCCCCCCCCACAGGACCCCTGCTCCATTCACCCCCCTCCCCTGTCCCCTGACTGCCTCCAGAACTGGGCAGGAGGGTCTCAAGGGCCACCGTAGTGGGTGCCCACCTAAGAGCCAGAGGAACCTGCCGGGGGGCGAGGTGGGGAGTCCCGGCGATGCTTACCTAGGGCAGCTCCCAGGAAGCATCCGGCAGGTCCCTCTGGCTCCTAGGGGCAGGGGAGCGTAGCTGTGGGGGAGCAGGGGAGCGGCTGCTCACCCACAGATCACATCAAAAATGGCTCCTTAGGCTCCGACTCCCTGGGTGCTTTGGGGCTGGAGCACCCACGGGGAAAATTTGATGGGTGCAGAGCCCCCACCGGCAGCTCCCCGCCCCGCGCCCGGCCCCAGCTCACCTCCGCTCCGCCTCCGCCCTGAGTGTGCCGCCCCGTGCCCCCCCGTGCCCCCTTCTCCGTGCCCCTCCGGCTTCCCACGAATCAGCTGTTCATGCAGGAAGCCTGGGAGGGCTGAGAAGCAGGCAGCGGCTTCACACTCAGGCTGAGGGTGGCGAGGGGAGGTGGGGCGGGGAGCGGTTCCCCTGTGCCCCCCTTACCTTCTGTGGCACGGGCGGCCCTCCTCGCACCCCCCCCCAGTATTTCCTGTGCATTACCACGATCACAGTCTTCTTTAGCAGGAAACATTTAATGGCATTACATACTTGGATCCCAGTGGCCCTCACTGTGGCATTTCCAACTTGAAAATGATTCCAGAGCGTCATGGCCGCTCTTTCCTCCGCTGTCCATGCTGCTCTCACTTCGGTGTCCTTGCACTGGAGGGCAGGGACAGAGCCCTGGGAAATTGGCCTTTCGCAGCCAGGAGTTCGGCAACCACTGCTCAGCGTCCCAAACGTGTATTATGACAGGTTTCAGAGTAACAGCCGTGTTAGTCTGTATTCGCAAAAAGAAAAGGAGGACTTGTGGCACCTTAGAGACTAACCAATTTATTTGAGCATGAGCTTTCGTGAGCTACAGCTCACTTCATCCGATGAAGTACTCCTTTTCTTTTTGTGTATTATGATGTGATCCCACCAGTCAGTGCCCATTTCTCAAGCCCAGAAAAAACAAATTGGTAAAGAAATGATTTCTACTGTTTATGAAAGTCACATAGTAACTACCATAACCAACTCGTTAGAGAACATTTAAAAGAGAGAGAGAAAATTGCCTGACCTAATTACTACGAAACAGGTAACTGGCATTGCCCTCAGTGTGTAACAAAAGCAGTGTGAGCTGGAAATGCGTCAGATTGTAGAGAAAAATTCCCTGTTAGCACCAGTCATGATTTGGGGTCAGTGACAGCAAGTCATAA